TGTCCAAAAATAAACCATTTGGCCAGGTGTGTGATGTAACTGTGTTGCTGTGTTAAGAGTTTAGAAAAAGTATTTTAAGTATTGGTTAATGCTTGTTAGCAACAGCAAAAAACTGTAATAAGAGCACTGGTAACAAACACAACGATAACACAAAGCAGGATTCTGTTTCAGCAAGTAACACTCTCAGGTCGATAATACAGTTCAGGGTCAGAGCCAGTAAACTTATACAGCCGAGGGATCCACAAATGAGAGGTCAGAGAGGGGAGTCCGATAGTCAATATACAGAAAACACAAGCAGAATCAGAGGGGTTAGGCAGTACTCAGTGTCACAAGGTAACCTGTGGTCAGAGCTGGAATAACAGGTACAGAAAAAACACTGGAAAGTCTGAACAGGAGTTAGAACAATCTGGCAGCTTCTTGGTGTGGGGAAGCTGCCTATAAAAGGGGTAAAAACAGGTGCAAATAATTACCACTGATTAGGGTAAAGAGTCTGTATCTGAGATGAGACTGTAACAGGAAGCAGTGTCAAAATAAAAGCACACGACCGGAAGCAGAGGGGAGAGAATCATGACAGACAGTGGAGCTCAGCCGCTCTACACACGGAGCACAGCAGGCAGAGGCTGTGAAGCACAGCATGACATGGGCTGAAGTGAAACATTAATCAGAGTTACCATTCCTTATGCTCGTTACTGTACGTGCAATAAAACCTCAACGAGCAAGAAAAAAAATACACCTGTTAAATAAGCATAAACTTGCAGAAAAGTAATCAATTTAGTTTTGCCTGCAACCTGTCCTCCAGTGCTGGTCCTTATGTGGTAACCATAGTAAGCATTTACCATGCGGCATTCTTACAACCCTGTTGGGCTGTTATGTCAATATGTTCAAACTACCCTGGGCTTCGGCCCTGCTGTGGAAATGTACATCACAATGCATTTGAACATCTTTAGCCCTAGGGACAGTTCTTGGGCTTTAGTTTCTCCAAATAAAAAGTACCAAGGACTTTATGGTGGAAACACAGCTATTGGCCCCCTCTCTATGATGGCGGATTTTGCACTTCACCTTCCAGTGTGTTTGAGTTATAAACACTTTTAATATTGTTGTGGGCAGGCAAATTAACTTAAAAGCTAGAACTGACTAATCATAAAACAGTCTGTCTATCCATACATATTCAGCTCACACTGGGCAGGGTAAACACTGAACACCGTCACGCTGACACATACACCCATTAACCCACACATTCACAAGTACAGCTAAGTGTATGGCTTTGGGTAAAATAGACTACCTGGAAGAAAACCATGCAGGTATGGAAAGACAAAGGTATGAGGTGATACAAGGTAAAGCATATATCATTCTTAGTCTGTTATAGGTCTCTTGAGGTTCGTTTAGTGAGTCTGGGCCCTAAGCCTTCTGGGTTTGTTTGTTTGTTGACTGTAAGGCTGCCTTCAGTCCTTTTAAACCTAGTTTTTAACCACACTTGCTACTGAGCTGTTTCTGCTGAGAAGTATAACATGATCAAACAAGGCATTCCATTAAACCCACTAAGCATAACTGATGTTCAAAAACTTACTATACATAACAAAAAAGCAGAACATTGGAAACTTTGACAATTCACGAGGAAAAGAACAAAAAAACACCAAGTCAGCATTAATTTAGCTTCCTTGTTGCGAATATTGCGCAATACCTTCTTCAGTGAAGTTGAAATTGCTAAGAATCTCTAACAGAATATCGACTTTCCCTGAAATCTGTGTGAATCATGTCCGCCTGCATCAACGGCAATCTGTATCACATCTGCTTCTCCTTCTTTACATACAGCAATAAAATCATATTAACTGTAGATTCATCTATGTAAAATTAATTCAGGAACACTAATGCAGATGGTTAACATGTGAATTAACTTAATCACACAGTGGAGGTGTAAATAAAGGCTTGAAAGATAAAGGACTACTATCACAACCACAAATTTGAAGTCTTTTGCTCTGGTTCCTAAAAAGTCATGACGACATGACGCGACAGGATGTGTCCATACTATGAAGACTGACTTTCGACAGTCATTCACACAACTCCTAAATCTTTAGCAAGAAATGCTTGGATTAAGTCCTCTGGTCTAAGACATTTGGCAAGAATACTAACGATGAGGATAACTTGTACAGCTTTTGTGCTTCTCATCCAGACATTACAATGTTTGGCTTCAGATGGTACAGTATTACAACTTTTAATTTTAAGCTTTTTGTGAGATTGAGCAGATGTGCACTCTACTCAGTATCAGCGACTGTGTCAATGTGTAGTGCATGTGTTTGAGGGATTTTATGAGTTTTTCTGCAATCACACGGACAAAATTGTGTTTATACTAATTCTTTATCTACAGATTCACCATTTCAACTAACAAACAAGGCTAGTGGCTTTTGTTTGATCAAAACGAATAATCACTGCGATGAAGTACGCTGGACAACTGGTGACAGACTTCTGGTTCAACAGAAGAATAAGTGCCTGGGAGCCCAAGGGAAAAGTGTGGGGAGTGAAATAAGCCTTTATGATTGTGACGAAAACAATGAACTTCAAAAGTGGGAATGCAAGAATGAAACAGTGCTCGCTCTCCAAGGACAAGAGCTTTACATTGAGCTCACTGGAGATAACACAGCAGTTCTCTCCAAAACCTTAGGACCGAATAACCACCTCACAATTTCAGGGACATCCAGTGGTGCTTGCACAAGAACATACCGAGGTACAGTCTGGGCTTACATATCAAATTACATGTACACATTAGCTTTATCCAACAGAAGGGCAAATTCCACTACTACTCATTCATATTTACTTAATATATGTAATATAGGATTTTACAAATCTTCATTTGAGTTTTGAAAACAATATCATGATCATGTTTTGAAGAAATTAGGTAAGTCACAGCAGACACACATGTTCTGAAATGCATCTTTGTTTTGTTCTTATCCCCTTTTAGAACTTTATGTCATTGGTGGAAATGGTGCTGGAAAACCCTGCATGTTTCCGTTCCTGTACAAAGACCAGTGGTACTCAAACTGCACCACAGATGACTCTTCAGAAAAGCATCTCTGGTGTGCAGTCGAAACAAAATATCAAAATGAACGCTGGGGCTACTGCCCAACTGCTTGTAAGTGCTGCAACAAAACATTATTTGATTTAGGACCTAAGGCTATAAGTAATTCAACCCCTATATTTAATGAAGACAGAAATTCATAATTTTAGGTTACAAGGAGGAAGTATCATACCTTGTCACAAACATTAATATATCCATATTTTGTATGTTTATTTAACAGCCAGGGCAGGCTGGAATTTACACCCAATAACAGGAGTGTATTACCAGCTCAACACACAGTCAGCTCTGACTTGGCCCCAGGCTGAATTAAGCTGCAAACAGCAGGGTGCCTCCTTGCTCAGCATCACTGATCCTCATGAGCAGGCTTATGTCACAGGTAAGGTGATTCTGTAGTGAATGGACAGAAAAAGGGTGGATGTATTTGAGCACATACAACAATTACACTAACCCTTTAAATAAAAAACATTCTTAAAGGTATGACACATTAAAACTTTTAAATGTGTGAATGGATGGTGCTATTAAAAATAAGTCACTGATAAAGGAAAATATTATGTTTTTCATTTTTCTTTTCCCTGTTTC